TCATTTGATGCTTTTTGATCAATTTATTCACAACCTTTTTAACCTTTCTGCCATCAGTCTAGTAATGATCTTGTAAACTCCCCCTACCAAGTTGATTGGTCTGAAGTTCAATTCTGAAGCTCCTGGCTTATTTGGGATAAAGGCAATAAAAGTTGCATTGCAGCTCTTCTAAGAAGCCTGGTTGAAGTGAATAAACTAAATAGTATTAATGATATCTCTCTGGCCAGAATAAAGTAAATTAAGGCACTGAATCTTAATCTTCTGGCTGCTGCTCTTTCTGCATTTGAAAACATCTGGTATTTCTTTCCTACCAGTTCCTGAATCTAGGGAAACCTTATTTAAAGGGAAACGACTGTCTTTCCCCAATTTACTCTCAACCCTGAAACAGCTTCAAACAAAAGCAGGAAACGACTGTCCTCTGCCTCCTGAAGATATTCATGAATACGCCAAAAGTAGATAAGCACTAGACAATTAATCTTCAACCTCTGAAGAGAAATACTCTTATCTTCAAAACACCTTTGGTTTCTCTCCCTTCCAAATTGTCCACCAGATGCAAGCTAGGACAATCTTCCATTTCTCCTTCTATTTCTCCCTATATTTTTCCCTCTGTCCTAACAGATTATCATCTCTATTCCAGCAAGCTAAAACTTCCAATGTACTCCTTGGCATAGTCCACCTGATTCACCTCAAGGTGATGAAAATCTGTCAAAGTTGTTCTGTCACTCTTTTTATGAGAATTAGTACTGTTGTATTCTTCAGCATTAAGGAATGCTGACCACCTCCAAGAAATTACAACGTAGTACGATTAGACTCTAAGCTTTACAGAGCACCTAATAAATCTACCATCTCATCAAATTCCTCTATACAGTTCCCTTTGCACCAAATAAATAAAGACACTAAACAGTTCCATTTCACATCATGTATGAACTTGATCTTGTCTTCAAAACATCTCCCATTTCTTTTTCCTTACTGTCCACCATATACAAGAAGGTATTATCCTCCTCCATTTTTCCCGACTCTTGCCACCCCCTCTTCTCATCCAGAAGCTCATCAAATCAGCAGTATGCTCGCGCATTGTCCATTCAGTCTTTGTGAAACTGAGGAAGAGGTTCCACAGTTGTGTAGTGAACTTGCAATGCAGAAAAAGATGGTTATTTGTTTCCCCAGTTTCATTGCATAAAAAATATCTTGTCACTACTACTCTCCCCTTCTTTTGTAGAACCTCAAGATGTGTAAGGCATGCTCTCTTCACCACTTGCCAAGTGAAGCATTTAACCTTGGTGGGAGCCATGCTCTTCCAGATGTTTGGGCACGCACCTTGCATCACACTTTTGCCCTTGCACATTTTATTCACAGAGAAAATCCCATCCCTGAATATCTCCATTTCAGTGTATCAGATTGTACAGTAGTGCCAGGAAAATTCTCCACTTCACTCAATAAAGTTGTCATCCTATCTACATCCCAGTCAGCTTCAACAAAAAACATCTAGGACATAGCTTCTGACCCCCTTTCCATTAGCTTATCTTGATTTAGGACAACTTGTTTTGCCACTAAGCATGCTACCTTGTATGGAATCTTGACTTCCCATATTATCTTCCAAGGCCAAAAGTCAGATTCTTTCACACTAAGGGACCTTTGGGGCTTTATTGAAGTGATGAATGCTTGAGGCAAAGCGCCCAATCTGCACATACCTAGCTTTAGAGCCTAAACATGCTTTGGCACACTTCTGCCAATATTTTTTCTAGTGTTGTGCAATTACAGCTATTTCCTAGAGAAAACTCATCAGTGTGCCTCTTTACAATGAGAAACCTTTTACTATGGTAGTGTACTCATAATTTTTGTTGAGAATATAATTAAGTAAAGTCTACTCTCTCTAACAACATTAACTTTTAGATGAGATGGTCACACACTTCCACATGATATTAGAGTAGGCAGAGGTCATGGGATCAAATCACACCACACCCATTATAAAAATAAAATAAAAGAATTTCACATGCTTAACCCATGAAAAAATGAGGCCTGCACATGAGAGGGTGTGTTGAGAATATAATTGAGTAAATGAAGTGTGCTCTCTTTAACAACTTAAGCTTTTAGATGAGATGGTCCACACAATTCAACAATTTGCAAACTCATGTTAGACCATAAGATTGTTGGTGTACTAAAATGTTACACATTGTCCCAGATTGAGAAAAGGTATTATATATATTGTATATAATCCTATGAACACATTTATCCTGTACCCTATAATTCACTCCTCCTTTGTTAGTTCCTCACAGGAGAGAAATCAACACAAATGTGAATAGGAAAAGACCACATCAGACATTGAACTAAAAAGGAATGATGCTGATGCTGATGCTGATTGCTACCTTCAAATCAAATATAAATCAGCTGATATTTTTATCATAGAAAGCAATTATTAGTTTTAGTCAAACCAAATACCACGTGTGTTCTAGACAATGTTCAGAAGTACAACTGGAGTTACTTTATACATATCGTGTCAGATGGAAAGTGGGACATCTTGATGAAACATAGATCATTAACAAGAGACTTACTGGATTGAGATTGTATATACCTGAAGGATTGCTTCGCGTGTATGATCAAAATCTGGATCCATTTGCTGCTGGGAATTTGAAGAGAGAGCTTCTTTCAACATCTTTTATCCATGCAAAGAAGTTCACGTTAGATGGATTTCACAAGACTAATGTTGTCAAGCTAATAGCTTACACAAGAGAATCTTATGAAGAGGGGAATACAAATGTGCCCAAGATGCTGTTTTTGTGAGCAGGTTGCAGAGACAATTAATCATCTGTTCTTACATTATAAAGTGGTTGGCAAGCTGTGGAATTTGTTTACTAGCTTCAGAGGTATAAGTTGGACTGTTCCAGGGAGAACAGGACAGGCTCTAGAAAGCTGGAATATGGAGGGCAGTGGCAGCACAGACAAGAATAGATGGAAAATTGTCCCAGCTGTTATTTGGTGGACCATATGGAAAGAAAGGAATTCTAGGAATTTTGATAACAAGAGCAGCCCTCTGCACAAGATTAAAATGAACTGCATTATCACTTTTTGCTATTGGTGTAGTTCAGAGTATATAGATGACCCTGTGGCTATTGTAGACATTCTAGGGTCCTTATAAAGGTGAAAGGAGGATCTAGGGATAGTTCTCTTTTTTCTTCTTTTCTTTTCTTTATCCTTTGTTTATGCCCGACATACATGTGTGGAAGGAAGGAGGATATGGTGTAAATTTTTGGATACCAGCTTTGATCTGATGATTGATATACAAATGTTACCTTTATCAAAAAAGAAGAAGAAGCTAATACCTTGATAATTGGAGAAAGCAAAAAGAGAGCAGGAATTTAATATTTTGATGTTCGAAAATTCTATACATAAATCACTAAGAAAGTGACAAATGAAAATCGGTCTCCTTATGGGTCTATTACCTCTTTAGCCTCATCCCCTTCATTTCTCAGTCTACATAAAGCTTGGCAAGTTCTTTTCTCCAGGCTGACAGGAAATCTTTCTGGAAAAAATGAGACAAATTGGATAGCACAATACTGACAGAACTCAATCTTATATCTACTTTTGGTTGTAATAGAAAAGTACAAGAAAATTATACCATTTCCTCCTAATGCAAAACTTTCAATACTGCTCCAAATATTCAGGAATAAGTGAAATATCTTCAACTGGAGAGTATAGGCAAATACTGGCGAAAAGTATAATCGAAAGTTGCGCTAATGGTCCTTCACAGGTTGGTTGTGATAGCTTTGTCAAACACTGTAGAACTGTATCAGCTGCTGCAAGAAATGATTGCAAGTTGCGTCTTTCAGAGAATGGTACATAATTGACAAGAAGAGCCATTGCGTGGATTCTTAAACGCTGTGATGGGTCAGATGAAACCAGCAAAGCTACCTGATCCCATGTACCAGAAACAAGTGCAGATATAATCGGCTCGCATGCAAAAGACTTACTTACTGATGAGGCTACTTTATCGCAAATACTAGAACATAATAAAGCAGACCCACTATGTCCATCTTGGCTCATGAGCCTCCCCAAGTGTTTAAGTGCAATAAATCGTTGCTCAGGCTCCGGATGGCAAAGCATGAAAGAGAACAGATCAATCAGAGAACCTTCACATTCATGGTAGGTGTGGATGCTTCTTCCACATAACTGAGAGATCCATTGATCACTGTGAAGCCTCCAAGCAATACTTGGGGAACCATGCAAGAAATTTTTAACTGCAGAGCATACATTACTAATTACACTATGCAAAGAGAAGCGTTGAGGAACAGCAAGTACAGAACCAAGGTTGGTACTTCTGGTACCAGTGCTTCCATGTGCTCAGCAACAATGGCTTCAAGCACATAAAAGACAATTGCTTTTGCATTCTTAGCAACAAAACCTTTTGCAAACCCAGTAGATCTTCTACAAAAAGGTTGGTTCTCTTCTCGAAAAAAAGGCCATGAACAAAAATCAGAAAACCAACACAATAAATCTGGTACAATAGCAGAAGAAAAGGATCTTAATTGCAAAGCAACAGCCTCCAATATAGATTCCCCAAAAACTTCAAACTCTTTTTGCAAATTGGGAAAGAACTGATTTATGTCCGGGTATATAACAGAAAAAGACTGATCTCCATTCTGTGGACTACGACTTTCACCCCCTTTCCTAGAACTTGAATTGCTACCAGATTCTTCAATTTTCTTGTCATCTTTCTGCTCCAGGTGACCTACTACAGCAAGCTCATCTGAAAATATAGACAGGAGATATGTCAACTGTGAAAGATCTGAGACAAGGAGATATTGAAGCCCATGTTTTTCTATCTCTTTCAATGGACCCATAAGGTGACATCTAACTCATCAATTTGAATCTGCATCTCCAGAGGTATAGGTTCCTCATTGGCCATTGTTGTTCTTGATCAATTGGAAAAAGCCTGCAATCAGTTTTTGGGTTGGATTGTTTCGTATGTATATAGATAGATAGCTTAGTTGACCATCACCATATTGCAATTTCGCAACTTTCAAAAGCTGGCATTACATAAAACAGGATACAAAAGCAATTAATGGCACTGTTACATCAATTAACTGATACAAGCCCCAAAAAGGAAGTAAAGTATTTGAACATGCTAAAAAAATCAGTCATAAAATCAAAACAGTGCAGAATCAAGAGGGGCTAAGTTCTGAATTATAAAACAGGACATAGAATGAAGTAGTTCCAACAAAGAAACTCAATGTTTCAAGAAAGACTTGTGCATCCTTCTATTAACTTGGAACAACTGATCCGTGCCTCCACTCAGCTTCCAGAGAGGGAAGGACAGCAGGCTTGAGTACAGCTGTGTGAATCACATTTAACGCAATAGCACAATTTTTCTCTTGATTTTCAAGGACAACTGAAGAAACGTTCCCAAAGGCTATAATGCTCTGTGCAGGGGTTATTGCAGGATCGAGATACGGTTCTAGCATCTCAACAAGAAAAAGCACTTGGTGCTTAGCATCCTGAAATGATGAAGTTCCCAAATTTAAAAGTTTAAAGGTATTAAATCGAACAGCTAAAGAGCAATTGTAAGATTCCCTGAATAATACAACAACTACCCCTCAGACCCAAACAAGTTGTGGTCGACTATATGAATCCTCATTTCTTCATTTAAGCTCATATCTTATCATCATTATAATATAATTCCCTGAATAATAATTGACAAAAATTTCAGTCAAAAGATTACCTTATATTTGACCAAAATATCATCCATAACCTCAGATAAAGCTAAGACAATATATTTAAGGGCTGCACGTGCACGAGCATATGAGTGGTGGGTGCCCTGATACACATTTTGTCCAGAGGAAAGTATTAATTAAAGCGTATACAATGAAAATGGGCTCTCAATAGCAAGAATATGGTCAGATAATGACACCAACAGTTAGAAATTATCTTTGCTAAATATGAAATATCCAATTGTTATAGCACAAGAAAAGATAACTGAATCATGACCTGGAGGACTGCCTAGAGGTACTATTATGGCACTACTGTCATATATCGCAATGACTTCTCTGTATTAGGTTGGTGATTAGTATCAGCATTATCAATTAGATATTCTTTTTATGTACAAGGATTTCAAAAGATGTAGAGCATCCAGCCGTAAACTACTGCAGTTAAAGGCATCCACCCAGCTCGTTTATTAGAACAATGTTGACTGTCTCCTTCAAACTCAAGGATACAGTAGATGAGACTGTAGAACAGATCCTGTTCAAGTAAGGTCGTTCGATGATGTTGACTACCATGCTTCATATCTTTTACCAAGAAACATTGTCTTCAAATATCTGTACTATGAGATCCTACAGAATTTGCAACCTTATCTGGCAGTTGCACTCATCAATGAAACATTCATCTTCCTAGTTGCAAATTTCCACTAAATCTACTTTTCTAGGCCTTCACAAAGAGATGAGAAATTACATAGGAATTTTGTTGCTGCATTAGGTACTGCACCAATATTCTCTCCATCATTCCTTAGGTTATAAAATGTTTAAAAAGGTTCATTGTCCACAAGCAAGTGTTTACTGGTCAATCAGATAAGCACAGAAAGCTAACTATAGTAAAATGAAAGAAAAATAAAAACACACACCTGGATTACAGGCAAAAGGTCCTCCAAAAGCTCAAGTGCTAAGTCGATCTGTATTAAAAGAAATCTAAGAAGTCATCAAAAAAGAAATCTAAGAAGAAAATTTTCACAAGCAAGGTTGCAAGGTAAAACCTAAATTCTACTACAGCCTACACAGCAGAGTAAGAAGAAAGTATTGAATAACCTTGGCTATCACTTGAGGCATCCATGGAGCCAATACACCAGAGCAAAGATCAATGAGCACACATGCAGCCCTCCCCTGCCAGTATGTGTCAAATAGATTTTAGTAAAGAGAAACAAACTTCAGAACAAGAAAAAACAGAACTAGATACTACTGTAAAATATATATTTTTCAATTCATTTGTAACATCGTCTTGGATTGTATCATTCTTTCCTAGCTCTATATTTAATTAAATAACTGCGTAGGGACCATGTTGAGAATGGTAACCAAAGTCCAAACAGAAAAGCAGAAAACAGGCTCATCTTCCCAGATAAAATTCACAGGTAATGAAGCAAAGGAAAAATACACTTGGTTGATCTTGCCAGATAAAAATTCAATGGATAACAAACCAAAGGCTGAGAAAGACAAATGAAAAATGTTCAGCATTAACCAAAGTGCAGATGTTGTGTTGACAGAACAGAACTTAAAACGAAGTGGGAAAACCTACATTTGATGGTGAAAATGATGATAGGTAACCTGCACAAGCACTAAGCAGAGGACGATAAACTGATGAAGACGAAGTCCCAACAATCTGCACAATAGCAACCGTAATGACACACTGATTCTAGATTAAAAAAACACCAAAACAAAAGTTATGACAAGATCATAGAACTACCTGGGACAGAGCTTTCTGTACAAAAGGTTGTTTCCACAGAGACAAATCTTCATCAATTGGGTCACTACTGTTGATACTAGGACGAAGTGCTTCAGGTCATAGAAAAGCAAGAGAAAATAAGAAATGGAAAAAGAATAAATAATAAATAATTTAACTTGTAATGGAATAGGTGGGTGAGAGACACATCTTATATCCAACCAATGAGAGACTGACTCAAAAGTAACAGTCACTAGAATTTCATCAGAAAATTTGTTGTGGTAACATTAGCTGGAAGAATGATCAGAATACTGGCCAAAAGAGATGGTACTGCCAAAACAGTAACAAAACAAGACACAGTGTTGCCAAAACGGTCACCAGAAAGAGGAGCGGTTATGCGGAACAATCAACAGAAAGATATCGGAAACAATCACTGGAAAGAGGAGTTGTGCCGCCAGAGCAATTACCAAAGAAGGCAAGAGTAATAAGACTACGAAATAAAGAAAACTTAGGTCGGTCAAACAGCATAAGTCTGAGTACTAGTAGGTGGAAGCCATTTAAATCTCTACCAAGATCATAAGAGACTCTAATATCGAGTGAAAATAAGAGCAGGAAAAATAATGAATGTAAAAGATGATGATAATGGAATACAAGATACAATAAATATACATTTAGCTGACAACGGCCTAATTGAGTGTTAACTCTGACAGCCTAACTCAATAATACGTTTATATTCCTAATAGTAAGAATAATGAATGCTCTTCCGTTACTAAAATACTCGAAGAAGATTCAATATTCAATGGTGAAGCCATCTAACTAAAAGACAGTCCTGACAGAGAGGAAAAAGAACTCTCCACAAAACCCTAAGGTCTCAAATTGTTATGCACTTCAGGTATAAAACATATCAGTTTTTTCTTTTTTATAATGATAAAGGGAAAAAGATAATCAATTTCGAGCAAATATTAAATCAACGACGCAGACTATCAAGCTATGATCAAGTAATTATGGAACCGCAAAAGCGGTACACCTGGAAGCAATGCTTGAACTAGGGGCAATGCCAACCAAAAATCAGAAGCATTATCTGCCAACTTGCTGCAGAGCAGGGGCTGTTAAAAATGAAATGTTGAAT